TTAATAGCCCTAAAATAATAATACCCTAGGCCCATGGAAAGAGCAGGAAATAATGGGAATAAGCAATATCTGAAGAGATAGTAGCTACAAGTTTCTCTCCATTGATGAGACGCATAAGCACATGGAAATTTAAACTCACTGATTTAAGAAACTCTGACTCTAAGCAGAAAATACAAAAAAAGACAAGTATATCTTGCAGTTTATATTAAACTTCTGGGGGAAAAAAACAAGACAATGAAATGAAGATAAGCCAGACCATTTGTCAAAAGAGAAAAAAACACATTATTTTCAAAGGAACAGGAGTAAAATGATCGTTGACTGTTCAATGAAAACTATGGAAACCATAAGACAAGAAATAGCATCGTTTAAATATTTTAAAAAAAGAATAAAAATTTCCTTCTTATCTAAAAGTCTACCCTGCAAACATCCTTAAAAAATGAAGGAAATATAAGGATATTTTCAGAAACACACAATCGCCAAAATTTATAACCAGCAAACTTGCAATCCAGTAAATATCAGAGCTAGTTCTTCAAGTTGAAAGAAATGATATTAAACAGAAGCTAGGAATCACTGAAAAGAATTAAGAACACCAAGAAAGGTAATGATACAGGTGAAATAAATGCGTGTGTGTGTGTGTGTGCGTGTGCTCAGTCGTGTCTGCCTCTTTCCAGCCCCATGGACTGTGGTTCTCTAGGCTTCTCTGCCCAAGGAATTTTCCAAGCAAGAATACTGGAGTGGGATGCCATTTGCTACTTCAGAGGGTCTTCCTTACCCAGGGATTGAACCCATGTCTCTATGTCTCCTCCTTTATCACTAGCACCACCTGGGAAGCCCAAATATATACATATAGATGCTTAAAACAAAAATAATAATGTCCTGAGGGGTTTATAATATATATGAAGCAAAATAGGAAAGGGTAAAATGTACTTAAATTCTTCTACAGCACTTGCCTTTTGTGGAAGTAAAGAACTAATTTAAGGTAGACGATAATAAGTCAAGGATGCATATTGTAATCTCTAGGGTAACCATTAAAAGAATAATAAAAAATGATACCTAAAAGGCTGATAGAGGAGAAAAATGGAATAATTATTCATACTTGATAGTTTTTCAATTTAAATAGATGAACAATGGAAATACTTCATTGGTTTAATTGAGTAATGTATAAAATATAGTTTGTTCTTTTTGCTAATAAAAGAGCATTAAACTTCAGTAAAATTTTATACCAAAATTTTAACTGAAGCTATTTAAACCTTTTAAATGAATTCATTTAAAATATTGTATTTTCTATGAGAGCAAAGAGATTACCCTAATGCACATACTTTTATAATTAAATAGTACATTAAATATGCATATTAAATTGTATCTACATGCCTGAAAAAATATCAAACATAAGTAAAAGATCTGGCATTCTCTTTATTTATACCCTTCTGTGAGGAAAAGTGTATTACAATATCTTTAAGAGCAATTTACTTTCTTTTTAGGTGAACAAGAGATGTACCTGAATAAATAGAAGGAGATGACAAGTTAATTATGTTCATCAGGATAGGGGAAAGCAAGGATGAATCCATTAACTATAAAATGGTCAATTAACCCCAGTACTTAGTAGTAATACAAAGCCATCATCATACAGGTTTGCAATAACTAAGAAAAACATAAAATACTAAGAAGTAATAGCACAGTTTTGTGAAAAAGGAAAAGCAAAATTCACTGCAAGGTTTATTTCAGTGAATTATGCTCATTAAGTTAAAATTTCACAACTTATTGGCTTGAAACCAAAGTATACAAATCACAATAGTTTGAATTTTGACCAAAATTCATTTTCCTGAAATAAGTGTTTTCATCCAAAGCTAATGATAGGAAAAAAAAAAAAACACCTCACTTTCGGGATCTAAATAGGAGTCAGGATTTGGGATTTCAACTCCAAACAACTCTAACTTTCTTAAATATTTATTTTTGAAAGATTTTAAAAAATCTTTAAAAGTTTCTCTAATATCAAAGGCAGTATAATCTTTCAATTCTGAACACAGTATAGAATTACAGCTAATTGATGAAGCAGAAAAATGTCTATTTAAGAAATAGTCAAATGAATCTTTTTTTGGAATTGGGATGAACAGGGAAATAAGCAAAGAGTATTAAATTAATATCATCAAAATGAATACTAATAAGGTATAAGTCTTGAAAGCAGGTCATAGGCTATTCAAATGGCCACTTATCATCAGAGAATTTACACATGCAATGTATACTTGAGATAAACTACAGGGAAAGATTTAAGACACAGGCCAGGAATGACAATAAGCCTATTTCCATAATCCTCAAAACATTATAGGTTATTTCTACTACCCTCTTTCCTAACTGGGGAAATTGAGCCTTAGAGAGATTCAATTAGTTATTCCAGTTTCCACAGCAAGTTAAAGCACATGTGGGATCCCACGCAGGTCTTCTGAGGTCTTTCTATTATTCAACAAGGCAGAATTTATTTATTATTATTATTGAATCTATTATTATTCAACTTGGCAGAAATCATCTAGTTTCTTCCCAAATATTGTATTAAAAGAGAAACAATTCTAAGTCCCATGTATTAAGTGAAGTGAGAATAAAACAACTAAACAGCTATATCCTTGCAAGTGCAAAAGTATCACCTACATTTTTGGCTCCATCAATATTGTTTCAGGTCTGTGAACAGTACATTCAGTCTTTCCTATTCAGTACCAACTGGCTTGCTTCCTTTGTTTACTGTGCAAGTGGTGATCTGTGCTTAGCTTTTTGACACTGGCATCCAGCAGTGGCCATCAGAGTAGGAATTGAGAGTGAAAGTCCATCTCCTGCACCTTCCTACTGCATTGGCCACCTTCTTTTTTCACGATTATTTTGGCAGAACCATTTACCTTGTTCTGATCATAAACTTTTTGGTGTACTTATTTTGGTTTTCTTGGATGGTGTTCAGAGACATCAGAAGCAATGCCTTTTACTCACCAGGATTCAGCAGACTATCAAAATGAAAAGCATTCATTTCCTGTTTGCTTCTGTTTCTATCCTCTAAGGTTTTCTGGCTGATATTCTTGTAGTAGCTCTACACTATTTCTCAGAGCCCATTTTTCCTTTATGCCAGTGTAATTTATAAGCTCAGCCTAGTTCCAGTGTCTTTTCAGGATAATAAATGTGTTAAAAAAAGCATGGTAATTCCAGCATAGTGCATAATTCTGCATAAATATTCTCTCAAGAACCCCTGTATCATTTACAATGGCCATGTTTGGCATTCTTCATCTCATGGCCAAGAAAATGAGATTGCTATTAGTATAAACAGAAATACAACTGTGATTCACAATTACATCATCTATAGAGAGGCATTCTTTCTACTTTTTACATAATTTATTTGTTTTTTCATTCATTTCCTGATGCTATCACCTTCCTAGTTTATATTTATTCACATTGGCAATGTAGCAGATGCTGAAACAGGAGATTCTAGTCTCCTGGCCCCTGACCCAGAGTCTCATTATAAATATTGGGAAACACTGTGAGCCAAAATGTGATCAAACCTTTGGGTTTAGTAAACTGTAAAAGCAAACCATCACAGCACTTATTTTTAGTGAAGTACCATTAAAAATGTCTGATTAACTAGCAACTGGATTATAATAAATTTATCATTATTTCTAAAGGATTATAATAGAAAATAGTACTTAAGACTATTTATTTTTATTTATCTCATTGAAAACAACCTTCATTCAAATGTTGATACCATTTAAAATTTCAAGATAATGGACTGAACATAAAATAAAATGTCTGCCTTCCCATTGAAGCTATAGAAATATTAGAAAATATAACAAAACTATTAAATGCATAACAATGTCAAAAACACTGTATAAATGAGAGGTCCTTAAAGAATGAAGCAAAAGGAAAACCCATAACTGTAAGCCAAAATTAGAAGTATAAGCCAGAAAGCAAAAATTAGGAAAATATCAGGGAATCATTTCATAGAAGATAAAAACAACATCAAAACTACTTATAGAAACAAAATTACATAAAAGAGAGATCTCAAAACTCAGGAAACAAAAAAGTTGACTCCAACTAAAAAGGTTACTAGAAAATCATAAAAAGACATTAAAATAACCATTGTAAATATCACTGAGATAAAGGAGGTCACATGAAATGAGAACAGCCGTGAGTATAAATCTGTTACAGGTTTTGAGAAACACACTATTGAATAAACACTCAAATGATGGCATGAAAAGCAGAAGAGACCCTCTTGAAGAACTCATTAGCAAGCTGGACGCTGAACTGAGGAATTTTTATAGGGTTACACGAATAAACAGAGAAGAAGAGAAATGCAGAACAGATGCAAAGTTTCCACAGCCTTCTAAGAGGGGATACAGAAAAGGAAGATGTAGGTATGAACGCAGAGGAGACAAAATTTGAAAAAAATAAAAAATAAAATAATTGACTAGAATTTCCCTGAACTTACCTTTGAGATCAGATGTCTAAGATCCTCTGGGCGAAGTGACGGCAGAAGAGTCCCTCCTTCCTGGGCGCGGGCGACGCGGTGGACACCACTGCGCTGCGCCTCCTCAGAGCTGCCCAGGCTGAGGCTCCGCGCGTGCTGGCCAGCATCCAAGCCTACATGAACCTCCGCCGCTTTCGGGCCCGGGGCTGCCAGACCACCCACTCCAGCCGAGCAGTGCTGCGGAGCTGTTCTCTTTGCCGCCAAGCCCACATCCTGGGAGCTGGCCTGGTGGACGTGGCCCTGGTGGTCACGGAGCATTTTGATGTCCGTGGCCGCTGGGTCTCTCAGAGCCCCGGGATTTCGTCCAACCTAAACCTGTGGTGAGGGGGCGGGCCAGCCACGCTAGGAAAGGTGAGGCCGAGCTCCTGCAGATCCTGCCGGAAGCCTGCAGGCCGTGGGAGAAGATGCCCAAGGCCCTTGGGGAAGTCCACGCCGGCCACAGCAGCAGTGGCGGAGGCTTTGGGTGCGCCCTTTTGGAGGCCGGGCCTTGGCTGCAGCCGTCATGGAGAGGCGCGTGCGCAGTGGCCTGGCCCACCGCCTTGCAGCCCAGACCCTGCTGGGGACAGCCAGGAGGCTTCTGCATAAGGGGCAGCACCCGGCTCCGCTACGGAGAGACGTGCGCATGCCGTCCGGCAGCACCGCCATCCACAGGCTCCCAGCCACAGGCTCCACGGGCCAGAGCAGGGCAGTGCAGACAGCAGTCAGGAGCAGGGTGGCGGTGGAGGCTGCCATCTGCCGGCCGAGGGAGATCAGCAGCGGAAACGGCGCCGGCCACAGCCCCCAAGTGACGTCCCCTCCCCTTCCTCCCTCCCCGGTCCCTCTCTGAGGACGCGGGTTCCCTCCAGTCTGCAGGCCAGTGGAGGAGCTGCCTGAGGTCTGCGAGAATGGGTGGACAGGTCCTGGCCAGTGGGGAACAGGAGCCGACTCTGAGCTGCGCATGAAGCTGGTGGGTGGAACTGGTCGTGATGACCCTTCCCAGGGTCAGGAGGCCTGGAGGGCTCCCTGACCTAGCCTCTGATTCCAGGATTCGGTTCTTTAGCATATCCATGAAGGGACTAACAGCTCAGGAAAGCCAGGAATGTAGGGCCATAAGCAGGACCTGGGGCCTTTGGGTTGGTGTAGGCTGCCTACACCATGGCTCACATGGGCCTCCTCTCCAAAGCATCCCTGAGTGTTGGAGCCCCCTCCTTCCACCCACCAGCTGGGGCTTGAGGCAGAGTGATCTCCAGTCTGTTAGCAGGGCTAAGGCACCGGCACGGCAGCCGCGCCATCCCTCTCGGCGCACCTGTCCCCCTGCGCTGCTCTCTCCAGCGGTCTGCCCTCTGCTCACCCACCCACCCGACCCTGAGCACCTCCCCCCTACACACACACACACAAATACAGCCTTCATTGCCCAGCTGGCCCTCAGCCAGCGATTGCTTGAATAAAGATGCTGACCTATTAAAAAGTTAAAAATAAACGATTCTAGGCAGAGATTTGTAACAACAGACACACTTAAAAATAAAGGGGCAAAATATACCAGTGAAATACTAAGAAAGCTGATATAATAATCCAGTACCAGAAAAATGAAATGCAAAGTGAAAAGTCCTTGAAAGAAATAAGAAAGGTATTTCATATTGATCAAAGGAATATAATTCAAAAGAATATAAAACAATTAATTAGACAATGCAACATCAATATAACTTTAAACCTTATGAGACAAAACGTTTGATATTAACACAAGAAGAAATTGGCAAGTATACCCTCAGAAGGGAAGATTTTACACACTTCTCTCAGAAACCAAGTGAAGGACTGGAACTCCTCCTAAAATTAGGATACAGAAGAGTTGAATAACAAAGCAACAGCAGCATAGAATTCACTCAATAAAAAGAGCATGCTATTTTCAAGTACCTTTAGAGGATACAAAAAAAAAAATTGATCATAATTTTGCCTTAATGGACAGCTCAACAAATACACACAACAAAAACAACTAATAGGACACATATTCCAACCATAATAGAAGACACTTGGAAATGGACAACAAAAATTTAGCCAAGAAACAAAACAAATCATACTTCCCCAACTGGGTAATTTTGAAGATGAAATCACAACAGAAATAACAGAAAAGTGACAAAAATTGCACTAAATATAACAAAACCTATGCATTCCAATTCAAACAACTCACAGAGGGAAATATAGAGTCTTCTTTCACTTTCTCAACATCTCCATTTTACTATAGGCCATTATCTGTCCAAGCCTTGAGGAGCTTATCACAAAATTGTGTTAGAGATGCTTCCATGTGAACCTGCCTAGCTATTAAACTTTCAGTCATTGTGAATGCATTTTGTATAGACTTCATGCATTTAAACAATACTGTGTTTCCTAGGAAACTGTCAATTGTGCATGTATTTATGTGCCTTGAAGCTTCCCTCAATCGACTCTTTTGAAACTTCAGAGAAGAGAAATTGTGGTCACCTTATCACCCTGTATTAATTCCCTAGGGCTGATGTAACAAATGACCACAGATTGGATGGCTTAAAACAACAGAAGTTGTTGTTTAAGCCTCAGCGATCTGGATGTTGAAAGTCTTAAATCAAGGTGTTATAGGATCTCTTTCCCTCTGAAGATTCTCGGGGAGAATCCTCTCTAGCTCTGCCTGTTTCTCATGGATCCGGGCATCCCGTGGCTTCTAGCTGCATCACTCTTAGTCTTCCTACATCTTTGCATGACCTTCTTTCTGTGTGTCTCTTATACGGACACTTATCATTGGATTTAGGGTCCACCCACATAGTCCAAGGGCTTCCCTCATAGCTCAGTTGGTAAAGAATCTGCCTGCAATGCAGGAGATCCCAGTTCAATTCCTGGGTCAGGACAATCGACTGCAGAAGGGATAGGCTACCCACTCCAGTGTTCTGGCCTGGAAAATTCCATGAACTGTATAGTCCATGGGGTTGCAAAGAGTCAGACACAACTGAGCGACTTTCACATATATTCCAGGATGATCTCATCTCCATATCCTTAATTATGTTTGCTAAGACCCTTTTTTCCACATAAGGTAATGTTTGTAGGTTCCAGGAGTCAGGATGTGAGACTATCTTTTTGAGGGTCACAGTTCAACCCACTACACACCCTTATATAACTCTCATTTTCAACACCTTCTTTTATTATTTAATTTTTGAGTTCCAATCACATTAATTTTTTGACAAATTATGGAAACAAGCGGACTAAATTTCAGCAAATGAAAGTGAAGTATAAAACTATGTCACTTCTTGCATCCAGCCAACTGCCCTAACACAGTGTCAGTCTCGTTCCGTCACACAGTGCACAGGCCCTTAATTATTGTACAATTTCTGGCCCATCTGACTCAGAAATACTCTCTCTGATTTCCTTCAAAAGAACCAAAGTGGTAAATTTAGCCCACGAACCGTGAACCAAGGAAGAGTTGTCATTTAGAGTCATTAGAAGGTGCAGTGTCATAGCTTTTCACCAGACTACCCAAGTCAAATTTTCAGAGAAAGCTTGAAAATTAGCTTCAACTCAATTTTCATTCTCAGAAGAAAAATATCTCTAGTCATTGCTCCCAACATTGCCCATCACTCATGCAAAAATGAGGGAAGATTAGCTAAGAGTGTTATTCTGTTCCTCTAAGATGTCCTTTAAAAAGACAGTATTTATTTCTGTCCTGGTATAGTCAATAACTTCCTGGCTTCTTTCTTTTGGCAACCATTTTTCCCTTTCTTTGGCTCATTCCTGGTTAAACCACTCTCTCCTGTAGTGAGATTTAAGTGAAGCGTAGGTTAACAGTGGGAGAAGGCAATGGCACCCCACTCCAGTATTCTTGCCTGGAGAATCCCATGGACAGAGGAGCCTGGTAGGCTGCAGTCCATCGGGTCGCTACGAGTCAGACATGATTGAGCGACTTCACTTTCACTTTTCACTTTCACACATGGGAGAAGGAAATGGCAACCCACTCCAGTGTTCTTGCCTTGAGAATCCCAGGGACGGGGGAGCCTGGTGGGCTGCGGTCTATGGGGTCGCACAGAGTCGGACACGACTGACGTGACTTAGCAGCAGTAGCAGCAGGCTAACAGTGATCCTTTTGCTGCAAAATCTCAGTGGACACTGTGAGGCGCCCCAGCTTACATACTGGGTCTTAGATGATTTAAAGCTATATAAACAGCATTTTGTGCTGAAATAGTCCTGTCAGCTAGGACCTACAAACTCAACGCAGACTCCAGCACTACGGATTTGGTAACACAAAGGAAAGATTCTGAGAAATGGGAAAGTCAGAGTTACAGCATCAACACCACCACCAAGAAAACTCTTTAAAGAAGATCCCCTCTCATTTACTTTCATGCTCACACCTTCACCAGATTGTGCAGCCAACCCCTTATTTCTTCATTTCATTCAAAGCTTCTTTAAAATCACCACTCTGGGTATGATAAACAAAGTTACATTTACAAGCCCAGCTGCCTCTTTTCAGGCCATTCCTTTAGAGCAGTCAGTAGGAGGTGGGTATCTTGAACCAAGTAAACAGAGGTGAGTGTGCCAAAATGAAATATGACATGTTGTTCTAATCTAATCATTTAACAATATCTAATCTTAATCAATTGGGCTTCCCTGGTGGCTCAGGAGATAAAGAATCTGCCTGTAATGCAGGAGACCTGGTTCGATCCCTGGGACAGGAAGATCCCCTGGCCAACCCGCTCTAGTGTTTTTACTTGGAGAATCTCGGAGCCCGGAGGACTGCAGTCCATGGGGTCACAAAGCGTCAGACATGACCGAGCGGTTCAGCACGCATAACCTCTGTTGATTATCTACCTATTTCTCTACCTTTCTGGCCACTTATAACTTGAGCTTTTTCTCTCTGTCGCAATAGGGATACCGCATCGAAGAACTTATTTATTCTGGAAACATCTTTATTGTCCCTTTTCAGTTCCATAAATGTAAAACGAGGTAAACAGGGATATTCTGGATAAGAGAGCATAAAGCACAAGCTTTAGAAAAAGCATATGAGAAGTGGATAAAAGAAGACAGTTCCATTTTCCGTACAAGCATATTGCTTGTACGTGCACATTTACCTTGGGTGTCTCTGAGAGTACGGTGGAGACTAGTTCCCTTTGAGCTTCAGTGCTTTAGACCATTTCTAAAGGAAGACGGAGAAACAGTACAAGAACTCTCCACTCCCCAAGAAAACTTACCGTAGACGTCTGTTCTGGTCTTCCTGATGCGTTCCGGTCTTCCTGATGCGTTCCAGGGTGCAGGCTTTTGGAAAGCCTCCTTTCTGTAAAGACTGAATCACCGTGGAACTCCTCCCAACCAAGCCGTCTGTGTGAGCTTGCGGGTGAATGGCCGTGTGTCCATGCGGTGCGTGTGGCGGGGAGGCCAGCTGCCTGTTGGGGGACCCGACCATGCGCCCCACTGAGGGAGGAGGTCAGCTCTCCCACTGAATCCCGAGAAGCAAGTCTCACGTCATCTTTCCAAACAGGCTTTCCTCCAACAGCCCAACCTGCTTTTCTTTCCGTGTGTGTGTGTGTGTGTGTGTGAGCATGTCCCATGAAACTAAGGAATCATCTAGTCCCTGCTACGACCCAACACATAAGTAGAGGCGAAGGGTACTCGCCGGCAGAGGGTGCACGCGGGAAACTTGTGAAGGGAAAATGAGTATGCAGAATGAAGCCAAAGGTTAGACGACTCTGAAAAGAGAAGAGAAAGGCTCAGTTTGTGGCAGCAGGCAACTGGACGATCAGAGACGGTCAAGGTGTATGAGATATGGCTAAAATCTGCTTAGGGAAGATTCATTTTGTGGTGATGCCAAGATTCTTGGAAAAGAACATAACTTATCTA